GTAGGTGTAAGTACTTGTTAGCAAAGGTATTTTTCGTTTTGACCTATTCATGATTAATATATAAACACACACACACACTTAAACTGATTAGGCACTAACTATAGGCATAATTGCAGGTACATCTATCACAACACAGCATCTCAGTATGTTCCCATCCCCCTCTGACTCCAGCCTCTCCTCACCCCATCAGCCATTTGAAATCCTGCCAAAATATTCCTCCTCCATTCACTTCACTTCCCATAGCCTCCCTTTTTTCTTCCTTCCTCTCAGAGAGAAGCACCAATTATGGCAAACTGGTATTGTGGACATCCAGTGCCAGGACAAGGGAGAGTTTTGGGGGTGTATTGGCACTAGTCCCACCAAGAAGCAGAAGTCAGCACTGTAAGGTGTCTGGCCCTGTCCTGCTGATGTGCACAGGCAAGCTGTTTTTGTCCAATTAGACTGTACTGCCAGAGTCCAGTGTATACTGAGGAGATGGAGTGCAGAAGAACACTATGCATTACCTCCCACTGTGCCACACAGTCTACTCTAAGAGGAGGTATTATCAACACACTACATATGAATGGAAAATGAAAGCAGGCCATATTCAATAATAACTTATAAGACTGTAGTTACTGGTATATTATGATGTTTACTCAGTGCAAGCTAGAATTTACAATTATAAAATGTGTCAAAATATTATTAAAGCCAGTCTAAACTTACTAATTATTACTAATGTAATGACAATACAGAGCCACCAACAGAGCCATAAATATATATATATATATATATATATATATATATATATATATATATATATATATATATATATATATATATATATATATATAAGATAATTTGTTATTTTCATTAAAAACAAGTAAAATTGCTTTCAACATGAGTTTCCTTAACATAAATTATACACATTTTGGATCATTGCCATTTACATAAAAAAGTCTAATTTGTTCCTCTAAAGTCTGCTCCACACACACATTTATTTGACAGAGGAAGGGCTGTGAACACCCCTTGATTAAAAAGTGATTGATGATTATAACTGAATCTTGTTCAAATGTCAGTGCCCTTGTAAAAGACACATGGCAATTACACAACCCTATTACAATTTAGTTAAAGTGCAGCTTTTTATATTATCAGTTCTCCTATTCAAGGTGCACTACATTTATATGATATGTATGATATAAAATTGTTAAAATGACATTTAAGGAACAGACTTTCCCTGATCTGAATGCCTTGTCTTTCTGAAGACATGATTAGAGTGTAGGCACAGAAAGATACTGTGCAGGCCTGAAGTTCACAGTTCAGAACAAAAGGAAAATATGTTAGAAAAAAACACTCACAGAAACACTTCAGATTTAATGGTTTAATTAATATGTAACATGTTGTGATTCAACAGAAGAACTCTACAAATGTCAAGCCTTCTGTGTTTCAAAATGTAATATTATTTTAAATGTAATATTAACTGGATGGGATTATGTCTAATCAGTTGTTATCTAGAATTAATTCAATATTCAATGTGTAATTATAAACAGTTTACTGTTTTATTATAAATTTCAATACATTGTAGGAAATAATACAATTTCTCCTCTGGTGAAAAACTAAATGCCAGATGGTCTGAGGAGGACTGACCTGCAGTGACCTGAGCAATCCTCTCTCTGCATTTAGCTGCACCAATGCACCAACTTTTTGTGTTAAGTTTTGTATTTTCCAGACACTGGATTTCAATGTTGTTGGAGCAAAACACAGAAAGACAGCAGAATCTTAAAATCACATCTAGCAGTAAAAAATCTCAAGCTGAGGATTCATTTCAAGCCACATAGATGAAGGCATTACTGTTAGATGTAAAACTCAGATCTACTTGCATCTCTTGGTTATGTTAGGTAGTAAAAACGTATCTCTATTTTTACAGTATGGCCGTCATGTGGCCATTTAAGGTCACTTGCAAACAGTTCAGTCCTTAGGCATTGGATGCTCCTCCAACTTCTCATTCAAGCGTATTTTTTAAAACATAACTTATAAACCTAATATAATGAACACATTTTTATAAACAATGAAATTTAGGAAGCAGAATATGACTTGTGATCAAGTAGAGATTATAATAATACACAACTAAATGTAACAGTTTGGTAACAAGAGGTCTTAAGAGGTCACAATGCAACCCAGTGATAGTTTTAAACAGTATAAAAAACTAACTGCAGAAGAACATACCCAAGTCAGAATAGAATAACAGCTCATTACTGCTTCCTGTTAGTGAGGTTTTCAAGTATTTACCTTGAAAAACAGGCAAAGTATGAATGCAGATTATCATCCATCATCACTGACCACTATTGCATAACCTCAAGAGACAAGGGGTCAGCGAGAGAGCTAAGGAACTTGGAGAGAGAAGAGTCCAGAAGACATCAAACTGATGTCCAAATGTAACTATAGAATATCCAGTATTCCAAAAGTAAAATTATCATTTCCAAAATAAAATTATGTTGAAATTCAAAAGCAAGCTTTGGTATCCATATGTTTTGTTTATTTACTTTAATGCAACAGGGAGATCTTGGCTTCAAAGTATACATATTTGCTTAATTTGCTGTTCTTTCTGGAATAACAGTTGCATGGCCAACCAATACTGCATATTGTGGTCAGGACCACATCCTGCCCTCCCAATTTCTGATATGGGAGCTAGTGACAGGTGTATTAACAAATCAAAAAATAAATGCAGAGTCTATTCAAGTCTATTCAAGTCTATTCAAGTCAAAATAAACATGGCAGTTTAAGAGCACAACATTTTTAAAATGAGCCTATATTTCTGCAGAATCAACAAGCAAAGCACCATGGGATTTTGTACCAGAAATAAAACAAGTAAAATGTTGTATCATGCAGGAGTATTAGCAAGAAGAAGTCTTCCACATTTGAGCAACGTATGCTACGATTTAGTATCTGTGATTGACCAATAAGGATGCTTGTTTGATGTGCTTTATTGTCTGGATCCAGAACCTACTGCACTTACACAGAAAGTAGGTTGATTACAATAACATATCCTTACACTTATGTTCTACATTTAATGCAAGCAATGATAAATGCCTCAAACTTTGATACTCAAACCTTTGTCATGTCAATGATGCTTAAACTGTTGAATAATCTGAAGCCTCAGAATAGCACAGTGAAATACACAAGAGTTGATAAAAGAAAAGAATAAGGACTGAGATCTAAATTAGTGAAAACTGGCAGTGGTTTGAGTGGAGCCACTGTAGCAGACATCTTGTTCCTAACACAGACCAGATGAGGCTCTTATGGCCCCATGAAGCAGCCTTTAAAGAGAGAGGGGCCCTCTCCTTTTCGTCTCTCTTAAACATATGTAAGAGATAGAAACAACAGTGTGACCCTTGGCACTTCAGCAAAGGCCAAATGTCTCCTGCTCCTTCTTAGAACTCACTCCAATAAATGCATCAATAGTAACTTATAACTAAGTCATTAAGTCATTATTCACAACATTGACATATGGTATTATGTAATTTTACATGTTTTTACTACCAACATTTTGCAAACATTAGAAGTAAATAATTAACATTTGGCTCAATGATTATGACTCTCACCTCACAGTCATAAGGCCCTGGGTTTTTTTCTTTCCAGCACTTCCTCAATAACAATAGTAACAATATGTATTAAGTTGTTCTTTTCCAAAAACATCAGAAGTCCAAAAGGATGAGGCCAATGACTAAAGACTACAATGTGCTCTCAGCTAAAGTACACTTCACTCTACACAAGCTCTGGAGTGGGAACAGAGAAGAGGTGAATGGTTGCACTGATCTACCGAGCATTTGTCCTGGACAAGCAATACAGTGTGTTCTTGTTAGGGTTCAGATGTTTTATGCCTTTCATTGATTTTCCATCCAATTTTGCATCAAGGGGAAACTGGACTACACAAAAACAATTGAGCAAAGGAGCCTGTCTGGAAATGGAAAAAGCAATCTTGTTTTTCTGTCATTAGCCCTCAACACATACTTGAATAATGCATTTCTTCAGTTTCTTTGCAAGCAGAAAACTAATATAATACATAATATAAAATGTAATATTTGGCTGCATTCACCTCAGCAACAGTAAACCCCATCTAAGTAAGACCACTAGTGACAAGCATCTTCTGCAGTGGAGTGGTTTTGTCCTGTTCTGTTCCTTAAACAGTTAGTGGCCTAGCCACACGGTACATAGCACTAAACCTCACTATACACACACTCACAAACTTAGAGCCAGCTACAAAGATCCTTTTGTTCAATCTCACTCAAGGAAAATGGTTATGCACGCAAGACTTTCACAGGCAAATCAGAACTGTGTTAGCAAAACAGCTGCTATGTTTTCTCCCTCCATCTGGAAAGTGTACTCACCAAGTTTGTTGCCTCACAAACTTTAGTACGCCATTACCGACAGCCATTTAGTGCTATCAGCGCTAATAGAGGGGATCCAGGGTGGAGTTTAATAAGAGGAAAATGCACCATGTTGCACAGGTAACTGCAATTTGATAGGCTATGATTATTACAGACTAATGATGCTCAAAAGATACAGTAGATGGGTCTCATTTCAAGATTGACTCAAATTAGCATTCACTGATGGAAACTGTATTCAAAATAAAGTGGAAATTCATATGATGCATTTGTACTTAGTAGTAAGGGCATTGTGTTGACTAGAATGTAACGAGATAACAATTTTATTTACATTTTAGATTATGCACCATTATTCAAGATATCATATATATTATATCATATATATTACATATTTACATATCTACAGCGTTTATATAGCATACATGACTGTACAGTCCTCTGCAAATCAACACCACATTGTGAAAAAGAGGAAGTCCTATCTTAAATACATATTTTTGCCATACAGCCCTTTAATAACGTTTTTCGAATGTTTGCCTTTCTGTGAGGACCAGCATTTTCTCAGCTTGGGCAGGTTTGGTGAGGCCAATGTTTAGACTAGGTTTTGGGGTTGTCATGCTCAGAGGGACTATGTGGTCTTACCTGTCTGGTCTGTCCCCTCTAGGTTTTCCTCCGCAGAGTTCTGCTCCCACTCCAGTGCCTCTGGGTCCCACTGTCCCAGGACTGGCCCCTTTTCCTCTTCGCTCGATGGGAGGTCCAGCTCGGCCCCCTCAGAGACCTGCACTCACGCACATAAACACACACACACAGAGCTATTGTCAGCAGCGGAGCCTCAGTCTGTCCCGAAGGAAGCTTGGTAAGATTAGGTTTACGGCCACATAACCGCATAACATTATACCAGTGGCTGCATTTTTCCACATTTCTGCATCTTTTTCAACCTTTTCTCCATTACGCACAGGACTGGAATGTAGTGGAAATCACTGAGATCCAACTTCTGCCACAGAGCAGGATAAGAGGGGAAGATCCGATCATATTTAAAAGGCAGCAGCATCAGAGGGTAGTTAAATGGAGTCAAGCAGAATCATGACTCCTCTGGAAGAACAGATTAGATGGTTGTTATTGTTATTACGGCTATCTGCGTGATGGGGAAGATGCTGTAGATAAACAAGTAAGAACACAGATTTGAAAGTGATGGGTATAGTTAGTAGATTTTATCTTTTAACACTTCACTTTTAAGGTATCACCTAAAATAATTTGACAGATGTTGTATCTTTTATACAAGATCTTAGAGTCCAGAGCATACCAGAGATAGTAATCAGATTATCAATAGGAACAAATAATTTTTGGGAATAAAGCAAAATTAAGTCAGACATCAGAGGGTTATAGAATGATGATAAGTTATAATATAGTAGGTAAATATGAAAGTTTGAATGTAGTTAAACATAGCAGCAGTGACGAGTTGGTGCTGCATGACTGTATGTTTATGGTCATATGCTTTGGTCAGTGCTGGTCATTGACAACATTGAAGATTCCTTCAGAGCACTGAACAGAGACAGTCCTTCTTCAGCTCTCCTTTTTAGTTCTGCTATAATGCATGAGCATATCCGGGCCATGCCACATCACACACTGTATGCACCAAAAACCAGAACAAGAGTCTGAAAATCATCTCCATATGGTCATTGTTTTAAATCTGAACGTGCGGTATTATGCTTTCATATAAGCATCCAGTAACAAACACAAACAACTCACCCACTGCTGATTGGGTAAAGCCACAGAAGTTAGCATGTCCGCCATGGCTCCCAACATCTGGTCTGTGCGCCCCTGGTTCTTCTGCAGTGCCTTCATTTTGTCTGAAGCATCCAGTTGAGATGACCAGTCACACCTTTTCACTCTCCAGACCTCTCTGTCACAGCACCGTGCCACTGTTGGGAGCGGAGCCACTCCAGTCTGGCTGCTTCCACAGGAAATATCATGAATAATTGATCCACAACGAGGAGGGCATGTCTCAGACTAGACGCAAACTTGTTTAGATAGGAGTCACAAGATTCAGCCTTCTTCTTCTTCTATCAGTGGAAAGTCAAATGAAACAACTGTAGGTGGTCCCGAGCAGCAACACCACAGACACACATCTACCTGGTACTGTCAATAAGAAGCAAAGAATGAGCTCCTGTTGCTTGGATGGTGCACGGTGAACAGGAGAAAACCATCACACTTAAAATTTCTTTTCTTTTTTTCCCTTGGTTGTACTACTCCAACACTCCTCCCCAAACCCTCTCCTCCCTCCATCAGTCGTCTAGTTACAGCAGTCTCTACCTGTTTTAGTCCCACCTGCATTAAACGGTCTTTTCTTCATGGCTTCAGGGCTCCTCACTCAGATCATGCCCCAGTCTGAGGCAGTGACACATGGATTGTGTGAACTCTTAAAGAGCGGGGCAGCCCCAAATAAGGTATGAACACACAGCCCCTGAAGTGAAGCTACAAGACAGTCACACGCATCCTAACTGTAACTAAAGAACTGCTCAGCTCTGCTCGCACTAGATACATTCATCACAAGTTAAAAGGCTCGCATTTGTTATAACAAAACAAACGTGGAGGAGATAGGAGGAGGATGACCAGTCACTGAAAAGGTATTTGCACGCTCCTCTGTCAGTCTGACGGGTCAAACTCTGGTTGTTTTTATTAAATAGAGACATGGAGCTGGAGATGACTCATGCAAAAATAACTAGAGAGAAGTTTTTGCACTGTGAAAAAAATGAATTGCCTTCTATTTGGTTTACAAGCAAAACAAAAAACACTGCTAGTTGTGCACTAACAATTTGAGTTTATAGTCACTATAACATCAAAGAATTAGGTAATGTAATGAAATACCTTGAGATACAATGAGCTGTCTCTAAGTGTGGTTTGAGTCCTGAAAGGTTTGCAACTCTCCTAAATTTGGCTCAGTAGTGTGTCAGCTCCGCAGAAGATCTCTAATCTAAAATGTTCAACACAAACAAAGCCAACAGCTCCAATTACCACTTAATAATAACTTGCCCAAAATGTTCCAAAACTCCTCCCCACCTTAAACAAAGCAGCTAGGCTTCCTTCCTGCTTCCTTCCATTCACCTAATTGTGGGAGATTTCAAACTTTTCTGTGGAATAATATTGTTGAGTTGAAAATTAAGAAGTTAATTGAACAAAAGAGTGAGAGTCACAAATAAACTGCTCATAGTCTAATATTAGCAGAGCACATGGGTGTCTTTAGCATCACTCACTAAGCTGGCTAAACTTAGATCACCACTTCCCAACACTGTTTTTCAGCTCTACTTCTCTGTCACTGGCCTCCAGTGGGTAGCATTGTGACATCTGGGTGAAATCTGGATCTCTTTAGAAGTGTTGAGTGAGCAACTTGGGCAGGAATTTTCAGAACTAGAACAAAATCATTCAATATCCATTATGATCTTAATAGGGAAAATGGTACAATCAGAAGACTGCAATATGAACAAATTTTAAATTGAGATTTAAGATACATTTTCCTTAAGAATTTGTAATGTTTTGTAACAACCTGGTTCATGTTATGTGAAGTTTGCTGCCCCCTCATGGTTGATAGTTGAATATCCTGTAACTTCAAATGAATGTCAAACAAGTGCAGTCAATGCAAGATGTGTAACGCCCTCTGAAACAAACACACTTCCTTCCTACTACTATGACCTTTTAAAGGCTATAAATCGTTTCCCTGAAACTTTTTTTTTTACTTTTCCTGAGCTTCATATCAGCAGTAGTACACAACCTCTTGTCTAAACATAGAATATCAACTATTCCTATTCAGTCAATTTGTGTCACTTCAATATTACAAACTGTGTAGTAAGATATGGGATACAAAATATAGAACTATAGAGATGAGAAAATTAATGCTATTTTAAGTAGTTGTGCAAAATAGTGTTAACATTTAAAAAGCTGTTCAACTGATTTATCATGTCTGTAGTGTAAAATCATTGATGAAACAGGGATTCTACAATAAGTTTTCTAAAATGTTTGAATAAGTAGTTCGTAGTTTGAGCAGAAGGGGGCAGTCTTAATTCCAAACTAAAATCTATTCCCTGCACAGAGTTCAACACACATGTACTTAAACCACCTTCAAAGGTAATTATTGGGTGAAGTAGTATGAGTGCTTGTAGTCATCATGCTCCAATTTCTGCTACATCTGTGTGTTTCAAGGTTTTCCAGTGTGGTTATTGACCCTGGGATCCTCTTTTACAGGACCAGTCTTACAGTAGGACAGCAAATAACAATAGTTTTGCTGAAGATTATTCTTTAGATGAGTTGTTTAGAGCACAAAAGAGCATGTTCTGTGTGGCATTTTGTTACATGTACTGCTTTGCCTGGTTTACTTTGAGTCATAAAACCTCTTCTCTCAGCATATGGCATCTTTATAATGCATCCCGATGACTAAATTATTATACGATCAGTTCAGTAACTGATTGTTGGGATTAACTGATTCATTTCTTTCACTCATAGTTTCCAGGTAAATCTCTGTCAAGGGAATAATTGCTAGCTGGACACTGGCTTAGAGGAACAGTTAGTTTGTTGGCCCGGTGAAAGGTTTTTACAGAGAAAACAGAGGCAGTATGTCCTCTCCATGTCCCATGACACACGACACATGATTCACACTGAGGAGGCTCCATGATTCACAGCCCTTTAGGTTTTTCTGACACTCCAGACGGGCTGAAAGAGAGCCGGCGATGGCCAAGCCTCAAGTCAAGTGACTGTAAGAGCAGTGCGGTTGGCTCCTGTCTGCTCCTTTGACTTAATCCTTAAATCTTCAGTAATCAGGGATGAGAGAGCACATGTATGTTGCCTGACTTAGGATAGTGAAGTCTATGTTGGGACGTGACGGATTGTGGGCCAATGAAGCCATCTCACTGGTCAGTGGAAGGGAGGGGAGAGGCTGGTGTCAGTTTGGGAAACATGAAGTCAATTTAGGTCTAATTAAAGTCTGCAGGAGCAGTTGAAGTTACATCAGGATGGTTGAACGTCAAGATCAGAAACAGATGGCTGCATCGAAAATGGTAAGCCTGTATATAATTTTTGTTCTTCTGTTTAGGAGACTCTAAAGTTATTTTGTTTTGGTAGTTAAGTGAATAAAAGAAAAAAGCATTGTTAGGCATTTGTCAAGTATCTGCTTCAGCATAACCGTGAAGATATAACTGTATCACTGTGATCTTTTAACTAGAAATTGAACAGAATCTTAGACCTAAAATGACAATATTTTATATCTAGCTAGAGATAGTCACAATCATTCAACTTCCTGGTTATGCTAAGAATAGTCTACACCATGTAAAGAGATTTAGATTTAATTACACAGATTATACAATCTAAAGGTTCACATTTTCCTGAAGGTTTACTGCTTTAACAGTAGCTTTTCTATAAGTAGCTGCAGTAAGTGTAACTTTCAGAAGACACTTGGACTGATGCTGTAAGCTTTGTCTTCCACTGCTGCTAGCCCCATATGGCTTTCTCAGCACAGTGCTCGGCTTATGCAAAAGGTTACTGATTTCATCAGTGTGCATTTTATATATGCGTTTTTTTTAAATGATTGATTAAAAATTTACCTTGCTCCTGTGGTCTATAATAGGCATAACAACACTATTACTGAAGCCAGTTATAAAGGCAGCTTACCTGACTTAGTTTAGGATCAGCCCCATTGAGGAGGCCTGAGGTCATCCTCTTTAGGCACCATGATTACCACAAAGGCTTTTTCAGGCCACTACAACTATACATGATGGGGGTGGGGGGTAATAGTAGCAATAATTTATAAAAATAAATTTTTAAGTTTATAAAGATAATGTTTGGCTCTTTGAGTACATTTAGTAATAGTATTATTGTATGATTAGATGTAGGTGATTTGCAGCTCTCCTGACCCTTCCTCTGTAAAGGGGCCATGGCCTGTGCCCACGATGACCCTCACCTGGGCGAGGGTCCTTCCGAGGACTCAGACTTCTTTGCAGATGATTCAGACTCGGGAAGTGTACTTTCGGACGACTCTGTGCTTCCCAACTATGAACGGGAGGAGAAGTACACAGAGGCCCCTAAAAGTGTGTATGAGGCATGCAGGAGAAATGACGCCCCAGGCCTGCGCAGCATCATGGAGAGAGGAGTGACCCGGGAGGAGGTCATGGAGTTGGACATCAATGGGAGGGTGAGTGCCAGTGTATTAATACCACATAGTAAATAAAAATGTGATGTGTTCTTAAAACATGCTGCATTTACTGTGCTCCAGAATGGCCTGATGTTGGCTGTGAGCAAAGGCTATGTGGACATTGTCACTTCTCTGCATGTGTGTCCATATATCGACATCAACCACCAGGATAATGATGGAAACACTGCCCTCATGATAGCTGCTCAAGCTGGTATGTGTCAATATTAAACATGTGTGCATGTATCTTTGTAATCATACTGGACCAATGCAATGCAATACAACTAAAACATATTAACTTCTAAAACTAGGATTCATCACTATTCTAAATTACATCCTTAACTACTATTCTAATGTGGACACTGAGGTCAGAGATCCCAGAGGGTTTACGGCCCTCATCAAAGCCGGTCTGCAGGGACGGGAGGAGTGCATGTCTGCTCTAATCATGCATGGTAAGTTTATGATAAAGGCAGGAATCAACTGGCAATGAAATTTTGAGATTTATCTTTAATTCTCAACTCAGGAGCAGATGTGCACGCGATGGACCTGGTGCAGGGCAAAGGGCTGAAGGACTGGGTGCTGAAGACTGGCAGGTTTGAGACTCTGCTTCGACTGCGCCGGCTGCAGACTCGTCCTGTGGCCGAACAGTTTTGTGAGAGCTTTGTACCTGAATGGCCTGAACTCAAACATCTGGTCGCTAAATCCACTGCTCCCAAAACTGCCACTCAGAAACTACGTCAGCGAATCAGAGACAGCCTTTCATTTAGGTTTCCTCAAGACCCACAGGACAATGGAGTTATGGATCAAATGGTGCGGATCACTACAAGCATTCACAGTCCATTGGTGGCTGTTGGCTGCCGGCCGCTCTGCCCCACCAGTCCCCCTGAAATGGGTAAGCGGCGCCTGGCCGTACCTGAACTGTTAACTAAGCACAGTGTAAAGGATCTAGAGGAGAGCACTGTGTCCCACAGTACTGGCTCTGTGCACTCAGCCTCCCCCTCGCTGGTGTCTGCTGCATCCGTGTCACTTACATCCTGCTGTTCTGAGAGGAAGGAGAGCATCACAGGGGGCCGCAGCTTCATCCCACGCAGCATGGCACACAGGAACAGCATCTTCCCCTCCGGATGCATCCCAAAGATCGAAGTGACCAAGACCGGAGAGCCCACTCCTAAGAAACAGAAAAAGAAGAAAAATCAGAAGGGTTACCTGGAGCCTCCTGTATGGAAGTACAAAGAAGCCAAAGAGGAGAAGAAGAGAGAAGAGGGAGAAGGAGGAGAAGGAAAAGAAAGACAAGAAAGACAAGAAAGACAACAAGAGTAAGAAGTCAGGTAAAAAGTCCAGTAAAAAGTGACAATGATGTACTGTACAATTTTTCAGTTTCAGGTAAATTAAATACTTGGATGTGACATAGAAGAAACTCCTTAATGTGTTCAGTTCTGGAAATATTGCTTTGAATGCATATGAGTAGCAGTCCATCAATGACATTCAGACTAATGATATTATATAATATGGCTCAAGACTCAATATTTCTGATTTTTGGTCTTAACTTCACATAGCATTGATGAATGTTAGTAAGAACATATATACCTCACATAATGTTTGATAATAAACTAAAGTCAACACAGTAACTCACTCCTCACTTTCCAGATGCTTGGAGTGTCTCTTCTGCTGGGTCAAAGCTGCTGAAACTACTGCTTGCTCTTAAGATTCTCTATGTAATTAAAACTCAGGTACAACACATATCTATGCAAAACAACTGGACTCTTTTACAGAATGATTCTCAGGTGTGATTGGGATGGATAATAAAAAACACTTGATGGAAGTAACATCCAAAACCAGCATTTATTTATTGGTAAATTAACAAATAAGAGAGAGAGAGAATAAACCTTACTTGCATTTTTGTTTAAAATAAAGCATTATTTTTTCACCTGTGTTATTTTTTTAATTAAATTTTTTTCAAATAAATGAATACTATTTTATAGACATAAGATAATAAAACTACTCTTTGGTTAGCACATGCTTATATGCTACCTGCAGTGTGGCACGTCACAATAGTGTTACTCTGAGCTCCTTAAGAAGGCCATAATTTGCGCCCTGGTTTAATGTCGACTGGCTTTTGAACCTGGGGCAGTAATCTCTTAATCCAATATGTTTTAACTTTACATAACAAGTACTTCATATACAACAGTGGCAGAATTTAAAGATTATTGTTAAGGTTTAATTGAACTATTTAACTAATCTGACTGTGGCTTAGTTCCTTCTCAAACAAGGAACTATACAAGTCAAGGTCAGCAAAAATGTATTAACTAGAGTACATGTCAAAACATCTATGGTGCAATGATAAAATGCACTGTTATATTTGCACTCACACTATGCTTTTAGCATTCATTTTTATATTGTAATGGTGGAAAATTACTAAAATCACCCCCCAACTTCAGTCATTGTAATATGAACATACAGAAAGTACTATATAAATTACAAAACCTCACTAAAACATGCTCAGAAGTCTGCATGTGAACAATGCTTCTTTGTAAGCAGCACCAACCTAATCAAGAGCAACAACAGGACATTTGACTTTTCTCTCCAAGATGTGGGAGTATCACTGCCAATCACTCTCAATACTCCTAAGGAATATAAAATACTGATATGTGAGACAACAAATTGCACTTTTTGCAACATGACAGATGATGTGAGAGCCTCCAGCTGTGTCTGCAGACCTCTGCCAGCAGTGCAGATTACAGAGCATGAGAACAAGTAGGGGAATTTATATTAGAGACTGATGAAGACATGCATCTGAGTGCTGCGCTGAAGCACTTTCACACACACATCTCTCTGGTATGTAAAAGGTCGATATTGGGCATAAGCATGATAAAAACTAGCTCACCAAAACAGATAAGACAGATATTGGAGAGACGAACTCAAGTTTAACTTTTTTTTGTTTTGTTTTGTGATTTATATTTGCTTAACTCTTAAGACAAGGACAATATTTTTAACAGTAACAACAGTTAAAGTCATTCAGTTTAGTCATTCAGTTACATTACAGTTACATATAAGGAACTTAGATATAGCCTAAATAAAACAAAAAAATAAAAAAATAAACTTTTGTCCAGTTGACAAATTTAATTAGTCCTTTGCCATGGATTCTACCTGGACAACTAAGGGATTTCACATACAGCCTATAGGTCAGCAACAGTTTGTTTTTTTAGTGTTTCACCAAGGTACAGGGTACTGTAGGTTCAATCGACATAATCTTGTAATACTGTAGAATATTGTACACTATTCATAACATTTCCATGAAGACAAGCAGATGGCAGACCTCCTACCAGAAAAGTTGCATAGTTCACCTTGAAGCAGGTATAGTTCTAGGTACTTGAATTAAGTATGGGAAGGATCAATACCTTCTTTAAAGCCTTGTGATGACTGTAACTGTCCATCCACTGGAGACATCATCATTTTTTCCTCTTTGTTTCTCCATTGTTACTCTCTGGCATACTCCTAAAACCAAAAAATGTCATTGTTAAGGCTGAAGGTACTGCCCCTCTTAAAGTCTATATAGCTGCAGTGATAACGCTAGTGATAAAAGTTTAATTGGTTAGTAGTAGTACAGTAGCAGTACACAATAATAAAGGAGTGTGTAAACTATAATTCAGTGATAAAACACAAAAATGTTATTGTTTGTGTGAGCTCTTTGAAGCGCATTCCTGTGTTAGCAGCTCAGCCTGGAGTCCACGGGGGGAAGAGGAAAATGAGAGGTTTCGCGCAAGCAACAGGAAAACCGCTAAGAACACATTCCAGGCAGAGCAGCAGCCCCACAGAGGGACAATAAGGGGTGGGACAACCAACCACTGTACGCCGTCTACAAAATCTACAATCTCCGGCAAAGATCGGCAACAGCGACAACAACCAAATTGCGTCCACTTACTTGGATGGAAAAGGGTATTTTAGCCTGTCGCCTCTCGTGGAGCAATCCGAGCGGGGATAGAGAGCGCGCCTGGGGTCCAAATCGCGGTTCGTGTCGTGATTTTATCAGTTTAGATTTGGGTGGAGATGAGATAGTCAGCAGCTGTAAAGTAAAGTACAGTGGCGCTTGATTTTTATAAAAAGCTTCGACTGCTGCGGCTAGCCACATGTAAGCTAAGATTTTTTCTTAATTTGAGGACAAACGAGGACCAAACAAAGTTTTACCACAAATGTCTCCTGGTCGTTCTCCACGTCAGAGAGGATGTGAGGGACTAAACATCTGCAGCTGGGACGTTTAACTTTGTTTTCTTGCGACATGTCAGTGGTCTGATTGTGAACTAAGGTTCTAGAGCGAAGTTGCGAGGTAACTTTGACATGGGAAACGTGCGGCGTTCGTGTGTGTCAAGTTAAAGAAGGAAACAGAAAACAGGTAAAGGCTTTTTTCGTTTTTTAAGTTGAAAGTTTTTGGTTAAATGTTTTAAATCACCTGTATAACATAAAGGATGTAGAGCTATATGAATAAGACAACATCTGTACTTACTGTTAAATTAGAGGTTAATTCATTGGTGCCAGACATAGGATGGACTTGAACCAACAGGTGTGCTCTGAATCCTCTGAAGTATTCTACTAGTTCACTTTTCATCCACTGGCTCTTAAAAATAGATTGTAGGAATAATTGTAGGAATATATCAACCTTATTTTGTATCCACAAATTTTACAAATTGATTTATTTGCTCCCATTTTCATTGTTATGGATATTCCTTTGTTTAATCCTTTTGTTTATTCTCAAAGTTAATTCATTAAATTTGACAGTTGTAGACATACTACAAACCTGGAGCGCCAATATGGATGGTGACACGAGCTGTGCTCTATTCCCTTTCAGACATGCATTCATTGTAGATGGTACATGTGAGAGCATGCAGTCTGTGAATGTGCCATTAAGCCTGCCAAGCCTTGCTTTGTCTCCAGACCTATAAGATACCATCAGTGAGCGAGGCAGCATGCGGTCATTATTGCTGGCTCACGTATATTCACATTAGTACCTTATTACCCAAACAAAAATGTGAATGTGTGTTTGTATAGTATACACTATATGGAGGAGTGATTTTGCTATAAAGATTTGGGGAGAGGAGCTTAGATTTAAGTGCTTCTCTGTCATTATCTGCAACTTAAGCTGTATTACAGTCATGCAGATGGTATGAGAGATCTGCTTCTCTGTGCAGATGAGAGGAAGAGATGACAAAGGATTTTTCCTCTTGGGTCCCACGGGTGCAGTGCTGGGCAAACTGTAGACAAACATACACAGGGCCGCAGAGGAAGTGTGCTGGAGCCTAAAATCAGGCTGATGGAAAACACGATTATTCCCCATTAACTTCATGAGATGACAGCAACCCTGATAAATGAACCAGTTATGGGTTTGAGCTCTACCCTATTCTCAAAATTTTACACTACCAGTAGATTCCCACTCTTTTTAATAGGTATATAGAACATCTTATTGACCAGTCATAACAACTATCTGCAAATTCAAACATTAGAATAGAGTGGAGCAGAGACTTTAACTATAATAACAATCACTTTATTGGGATCATACAATCATTGTTTGTGAGGTTTGAAGTTAACAAGACAAGCTTTGAAGTGGACAGAATGTTTTGTTGCAGTTTCAAGTAAATTCCAAGATAAACAAGTGAAAATTCTCACCAACTTTGAAGTAACTTTATTAGGTACAGAGTGCTCCTAATAAAGCTGTGGGTACAGTTTTTGTAGAAGGTTCAAGTTATGTATTGTTTGGTAAAAAGCCTTGTGGTTTTATACTTCCATTTCAGTGCAGCGTTTCTCAACTGCGATCTGTAGTTCACACTAACACACGCACTCACACAAAGGAAATCTAAAGATAGAATACCCTGTGTATTTCAGTCAGTGCAGAGACGTGTCACATTGATTTGAAAAGTTGATAATGCGTGGCAGCAACAGTTCAGAGTGATATATTTTTTTCCACAGTGCGTTGTAACAAAACCACATTTTTTGCTGACTTAAGCACAACTAAAAATGTTGGCAAGTTGTGTGTAATTTTGAGATGTGAAAGGATATATTATGTAGATATAAAGAAATATTATAATGAAAGTAGTTAGTTACAGATTTATACTTAAAAATGTGAATTAAAGTAATTTTAATCTGCACTGTGTAACTTTTCTGATGTAGGGTCTGCAATTGATAATAAGACAGTGCCACTAGTCTTTCCATCCTGTTCACATGCATTTGTGTTGTGAAAATATTGATGATGTATTGTTTAAGGGTCATGTAACATTATGGTCTGTTATGGGTGCACTGTCTTAAGCCAGCACTAACTATAGAAATCATCTCAAGATAGTTTTTTATTTATTGTTCTATGTTATCCACTGTACCATAAAACTACTCATAACTGACTCATATAAGTTAGACATGGGTGTTACAGACCCTATCCTCTTGTGTGACCCTCACAGTGCAGCCCTAAACAATGAACCAAGCTGGGTCCTGCTGTTGGCGGGTGGGGCCTCTCAATAGCAGGAAGTTCAACCATCAATATTTACTCTGAGGCGGGCAGTGGAGTCTGTAGCTTAGACACAAACTCTGTCTCCTTCCCCTGAACCCCTTTTCAGCACCATTACAGCACACGCACTGTTGTTTTTGACCTCATGCTTTCCTCTTCCAAAAAGCCCCGACTTGTACTACCACAGCTTTTAGTCCTGAAAATATCAACACACTCATTTGTATATGACCATTCCTTTTTGTGTTACAGAGATGGGTCACACTGCTCTGCTCTCAGTAGCAGTAACTGTAGTTTTTCTGTGGATTGCAGCTACTGAAACAAGTAAGCTTGTTTAAAATGTATTTTCTTTTAAAGTGAATCTAACAATGTTGTGACTTATTCAGGTTCAGAAAGCTTTATTACCATTGTTGGTAAACAAAATGTGCTTTGGCAATATGGTACAACATTGAATACTGTAATAATGTAAATCGTATGCATAAACTAAGATATTAGAAATTTAAAAAAGTTTACTAATTATAAATATAAATACTATTAATCACAAGTAAGTCAAAGAAACAAGCATAGTTTCACTGTTCTTATGTATAGGTGCCATGGAAGATGAGAAACTCTTGTGTACATGTGAGAATGAAAAAGGCACGTGTGTGAACGGGACGTGCAGGGGAGATTACTGTTTCTACATGAGGGTGCACGGTCTGGAGGAGAGGGGCTGCTTCTCTGCACACAACTACAGGGAGCAGTGCTATACCAGCTTTGAGCGCTTTTTTGTCTCCTGCTGCAAAGACAAAGCTCTGTGCAATACCTACATTACGCCACCTCCCAGTATTGGTTAGTAATTCTACCTTTGCCTCTCATACATAGTATAACATAATGTAAACACTCATGCCTTCTTAGCACCCTCTTGTGGTAACTTTGAATGACTGGAGAAATGCTGTGTGATTAACCAGTGTGAATGCTTATGTTGCATTATATAGATGGAGCCACCAGTCCCCCGGTACCAGCTCACCCAGAGGTGTGGATTGCAATTTCTTTTCTCCTCTTGATTGTGGCAGTGTGTGTGTTCTGTGTGGTTTTGTTCCTTCGTTTCCGCCGTACTCATTGTAAACTCAAGAACTCTGATGATCATGATGTCACTATGCTGAAAATGCCACATGGTGAAGACCCAACATATGGGGTAAGGGAGCATACTAGCAAACAGTTAATGAACTTTATTTGATTTATCACTCACTTGACCCTTTTTTTAGGATCTTTTTGATGAATTCTGTACATCAGGGAGTGGCACAGGGTTGCCATATCTAGTCCAAAGAACGATGGCAAGACAGATTTCTCTTGTGGAATGTGTTGGTTAGTATCAGTTGTAGATATCCAGTTATTAAGAATACAGTGTAAAGTTTTCTTGACTGTTGATGTGTTTATCCCTGGTTTAGGTAAGGGCAGGTATGGCGAGGTTTGGAGGGGCACATGGATGGGGGAGAGTGTAGCTGTGAAGATCTTCTCATCCCGAGATGAGCAATCCTGGTTCAGAGAGACTGAAATCTATAACACTGTGCAGCTGCGGCATGACAATATACTTGGTACAGCAGATTATAAAATTAAATTCTAAATAAAATTTTATGATAGTTTACTATCAATACATTCTTCTTTTGCTTAGGATTTATAGCCTCTGACATGACATCCAAGAACTCAAGCACACAGCTGTGGCTGGTCACGCACTTCCATGAGCTGGGCTCCCTATATGACTTTCTTCAGTACAGCAGTCTGGAGCCGGAGAGCTGCCTGAAGATGTGCCTGTCTGTGGCTTGTGGCCTGGTTCACCTCCACACTGAGATCGTAAGCTCTCAAGAAAAACCAGCCATCGCACACAGAGACCTGAAGAGCCGAAACATCCTAGTCAAGAGGAATGGACAGTGTTGTATTGCTGATCTGGGTATGGACACATATTATAAAGAGACAGACACACGCTATATGTGAGTTAACCCAAGATGAAAAGTTAAACTCACATGTTTGTACTTACCCATTTTACAGGTTTAGCAGTGATACACTCCCAGTCAAATGACTACCTGGATGTGGGCAACAACCCTCGTGTTGGCACTAAGCGTTACATGGCTCCTGAGGTGTTGGATGAGACCATTCGAATGGACGTCTTTGAGTCCTACAAACAAACTGACATTTGGGCCCTGGGTCTAGTTTTCTGGGAAATTAGCCGCAGGACTATTGTCAATGGTTAGCACTGGGCAACCAACTATTGATTTTTATAATTACAAAATTTTAATTTCAATGCCTTGGGTACCTTCTTATTGAGGCAAATATTAAAAGTATAGACAGGATGAAGTTGGTCTCATGTCTCTCAGCACTCTAATGTTTTCCTAGACTGTGACTGTCTCTGCTATCCTCTCTCATGATTAGCACTGCAGTAATTATAAACAGTCTTATCTAGTGTCAGCACTTGACTGTATATAGTCCAGAAACTTATACACACTTTTGTGTAAGAACATGCACACATGGACACACGCATTCATATACTTACACAACACAAACTGTTCACATGCACTCCCCACACACACAAACCTGACTAAACAGGCTTTACAGATTACTGTCTGAGACCAACCTCCTGGAAATTGTTATCCTTCCCTGCATTTTTATTTAGTCATACTTAAAGCCCCCACATCAGCCAACATAAATGTGCTATTTTAGATATAATGAATACAATTGTATTAGATTACTAAAGAAGTGTCTGTACTGTGTATTCCCTGGAAACTTATTTGAATACCATGTAAGTTTTACTACAAAAAAACCCCACTATGACTTCTTATTTTTCCTTCTTAATTGTCAGGGATCGTTGAAGAGTATCGACCTCCTTTTTTTGACTTGGTGCCATCAGATCCTAGTTTTGAAGAAATGAAAAAGGTGGTGTGTGTAGACCAACAAAGACCCAGCTTGCACAACAGGCTGCACTCCCATCCAGTAAGTCCTGATACTGACCAGGACACTAAGCAGAAACAAAATATGATTTAATTGTATGGTGTTATATGGTGTTCTGACATGTCTGCTTTTGTTTAGATCTTGGCAGCGATTGTGAAGATCATGAAAGAGTGCTGGTTCCAAAGTCCGTCAGCCCGCCTCACAGCCTTAAGGATCAGAAAAACCCTCTCCAAGCTAGACCACGATGGTGACTACAGCATTGAAAAACTCAAACAAGAAGTCTAAACCAAATGGGGGAAAGTCTTAGTAAGGGCTGCAGGGTATTTAAATCCTTCATTGCACAGTACTAGCTGTATATCATTAACATATTTAGAGCTAAATATGACTAATGTTGATATTAAAACCACATGACTTTGAGGCAAGAGAGTCTAGACTGCCAACACCTGAGGTTATATTATAATATGGCAGATTTTTGGTTATTCAAACAGTCAAAAACAAAAACAAAACAAAACAAAAGAATTGCATTTTAAAATGTCTCAGCTGCTAAATTTCTTATAGCAGCATACATATTTTTGAATATTGTGTTGTAAATCTCATGCAGTCAAATTATTTATCAAAAAATGTTTAGCACTGAATGTACCTTTCTGAATATTAAAGTACTTACATATGAGAGGTTTGTTTAATATTAGAAAATAGCAGGGCACAGTACATATTTGTCTATGTACATATGAGTGTATTTAATCGTGATGAGTGTAAATAGGATGCCTAATGGTTCTATTTTATAATCAGCAAAGGTGATATTTTAAGCAAATGCCACTTTCACTTTTGTACTGAAAAATAATTTCACCATTACACCATTCACCATTATACTGTTGTTAGTACAATAACAAACCACAGAAAGTAAAATAAATGGTTGAAAAAAAGTGTTTTTTAACTGCATGTTGTTTCGTGTGATTCTGTTATTGACCAGAAGAGGGCATTAAACATCAATGATGAAACTTAGGCCCAAAACAGCATCGTATAATGAATGCAGGATTAAAAATGTAATAAAGTAATAGTTATCATATCATCATGAAGAGGTTGAAATATTGTAATAAATATAAATGTGTCTGTAGGCTACTTGAACCTCAATATAGTATTAACATTAGAGTTCCCAAACACCAGAGTTTTCACAAAAACACCCTTTTGATCTTTGAACTAATTAATTAAGATCTTTGAACTAACTGATCTTTGAACTAATTATTTAACTACTTCAGAAATATAGTACATTCCAGATGGTGG